ATGCCTGACAACATGTAACCCGCCCAGAGTAACCTTTGACCCACCTCGTGTGGACTGACCAATGAGGAGAGGGTCTTAACTTGAGGCCCTCTCTTCATTGGTCAGTCTGCATGAGACTGACTCTCAACTGACGTTCAGTCGTAGGCAGCGAAGCTTCTCTGTGCAGTGCAAAAGCCCGGGTGGACAGTTTGTTTAATGTAGGGTGACCATATTTCCATTTCCAAACAAGAGGACAGGGGATCTGTGCCTATGATGTCACACTATGGCAACACCACACAAACCATGTTGGGACCCATTTTTTGTAAGAACTAAATTAATATCAGATTCTGCCAATAAAAGGGCTCTAAAACAATTCATATGTAAATATTTTGCATATTTAATGCAAAATCTCATTTTTATGCTTTAGTGCTGCAACAAGGTTTTATTAATAATAAATTATTATACCTTTTGTTTTACTACAGCATCGGTAAGCTTCCTGTGCACAGATTATTAAGGATGCTTGTTTCAGCTGTGAGATTAGACGATAGGATCAATGATAAAATAAGTTGTCACAAACTCCATGGAAACTTTCAGATAATCCACAAATAGTGGCTTTCAAATGGTTTTGTTACTTTTTGCAAGTTTAGAAAAGAAGCTGATGAGACAGCATGTCTGATAATTTAGTTTTTCATCTGATATATTAGAACATGTCAGTAATGTCTGAGGGGCTTTTACAAACACTGTATAACTAATACTCCTGGAGAGGGCATGAATTACACAGAGGCTTCTGGGGAGCCCAGTTATGGGGGGGGGGGGGGGGGGGGGGGGACATTTTGCCTTGGCCCCCAAAATGTCTTGAAACGGCCCTGGGTGTGTGACTGAGTTTTGAAGGTGATCTGAATTGTATCAGATGTATAACTATGACATGTGTATAACTTATTGTTTTTTACTGGTAAAAACGTGTAGTGGAGATAAATCTACCTACATTTTACTTTGTTTTCTTGTTTTTATTGAACTATTTTCCTGTCCTGTCTGTCTCTCATCTTCCTGCATCTCCTCATAATTCTCCAGAAAATCTGTTGCCTGGATTCTTACTTTTTCACCTCATCAGTTACTTTTGAGCAGATCAAAGGGATCTCCTGACCGAAAAGCGGAGAGCGCGTTTTCGATGCTGCATGAGGTGAAATCACCACAGCTAGGGTTGTCACGGTATGAAAATTTAACCTCACGGTTATTGTGACCAAAATTATCACGGTTTTCGGTATTATCGCGGTATTTTTTAAACGGTGTTGCATATGTTCAGAAAGCATTGATAGTCCTGTTCTACACAAACTGAAATAGTTCTGAAAAGGTTTAACAGTGTTTATTAAACCTAAAATAACACAAAGCCTTAGCAAAAGTGCAACTTTTCACAAGTAAAGGAACAAATAGCTTATTTTTCTGGAACTTGTTACAGTAGTCAGTGCAGGTTTAAATTATACAAATCCAAACATTCAAAACATAAACAATATGTAAACAAATCAAAGAAACACCACTTGTTTTCTCATATACTTGTTCTCTTCATTATCAAAATGAAAATCTAAAACTCCAGTCCACACTTGACTTGAGCACTGTACAAGTCAACCTTAAAAAATATGTATTTAAAATAAATAGCCACTTTAAACAAATTACTAAAATAACTACTACACTATGTAATCAAATCCAAATGTTCAAGTATAAATGGCATTGAATAAGTAAACAAATCAATGACAAGGAACTAATTGTATATTTCTCTTCATCATCAACAAATAAGATGCTTCATCCAGCAACAGGGTGTCCGTGACACGGTTTAAATGCTAGCAGAGGACGCTGCGGCTGCAGTATATAGTGACTCGTTGCATTCTCCCTCAACCAAAAGTCCTCACGTCATGCATTTAAGCTAAAATGCTAATGTTAACTTACCTTCCACTGGCTGTGGAGACGTGGGTGATCGTCACGCAGATGTGCCATGAGATTTGAAGTGTTGCTGCCTTCTGCAGACACTTGTTTCCTGCACGTTCTGCAAACGGGATAGCCGTCTTCTATTAACTGTCCCTCAGCATTTTTCAGAAATCCCAAATATGCCCATACTTCCGATTTAGTCTTCTTTGAGGGCTGGTGGATGTCCTGGGCGCTGCCGTCGCCTCCTTCGGCCATTATTTCAGCTTCAAAGTTTTGGTGCCGTTGCAAATTAAAAAGTGCGTGTGCGCGCAGCGGGAACTTCAGCTGAAGCGACGGTGGCTGGTAAGGGTCATCGCGCCGAAACCGCGGCCACGGTAAACCCACCGAGATAATATAGTTTTTTAAAAACTGGACGGTTATTTTTATTGTCAACTTTTTTACCGGGGTTTACCGCTATACCGGTTACCGTGACAACCCTAACCACAGCACAGGTGATGAGCTCCGCAGCAGAGCGCTTCAGGCACAAATAAGACAGAAAATAGAGAACATGTGCAGACAAGAACGATCGTGTGCTAATTATAGTTTTTTGGTTGCGCCACTTTGAGAATGGACCGTGCGCTGGAAGCAGCTGCCTGGATCGCTGTGCAACAATGCGGAACCGGTTCGCAGCAGCGCAAGTCTGCAGGCTCTCCCTCGCGCTGATCTGCCTGTACCGGCTCTCCCTCGCGCTGATCTGCGGCTCTCCCTCGCGCTGATCTGCGGCTCTCCCTCGCGCTGATCTGACTTGCTCTGGTCTGCGCGCAACGGTGGGCGGGAAGGGGGGGGGGCGCTTTTGGAAGAGTTGTGCGACACAACGAATCGATGACGCAATTCGTTGCCAACGCTTTTAGTAATCGATTTTCATCGAATTCATCGATTCGTTGTTGCAGCCCTAATTCACTTTAGTGCATCTTAGTTAACATCTAAATATTCAGCCTAGAACTGTCATTGTTGCGCCCTCTTCAGGTAAAAACTTGAATTTAAATCTGCCATCCCAATTGGCTAAGGGGTACACTATGATGTTAGCTGGTACATTATGATGTCACAATGCCATTGTGAGCATGTGTGTGTGTATTTGCTAGCGGCTCCGCCCTCAGTCTGCCAGTTAACAGCAACTGTTGCATTTTTGAAACAGGAAGTGAGAGTGGAGTAAGACTCTGTTAGGGGGTGACTTGCTCTTTAAGAGTTCAGCCTTTGCATTTCACCTTTTATGTAATGTAACTGGTAACAGAAAGTGTAACAGTTTTCCCCGATCCGGGCTCAGAAAGCTCATTGTTGCTTTTGGTTCCGAGGTCCCAGCTGAAGTTGAGGAGGAACAGAGATTTCTCAGTGATGGCCCCAAAACTGTGGGATGATGCTTTGCTTCATATTAGACAGCCTACTTCAGTGGTGGTTTTTATATCCAAGTACTTCTTATCTTCTGTATTTAATTCTGTGGGGTGACATTGTTGTGTTTTATGTATGATTGTTTTATGGGATTCTATTCTTTTGCAATGTTTGCATGTCCATATTCATGTCTGTACATAACTTTGTATGGCAAAAAGTCATTTTTAAAAGTGCTTTATAAATATGATAAATGACCCACACTTGTATACAGGTCCTTCTCAAAGATTAGCATATTGTGATAAAGTTCATTATTGTCTGTAATGCACTGATAAACTTTAAACTTTCATATATATTAGATTCATTACACACAACTGAAGCAGTTCAAGCCTTTTATTGTTTCTAATATTGATGATTCTGGGCGTACAGCTCATGAAAACCCAAAATTCCTATCTCAAAAAATGTGCATATTTCGTCCAACCAATAAAAGAAAAATGTTTTTAATATGAAAAAAGTCAACCTTCGAATAAGTGATGCACTCGGTACTTGGTCGGGAATCCTTTAGCAGAAATGACTGCAGAGTGCAGAGTTGGCTCACTGCATCAAACGCAGCCACTCACCAACATTCATCTGCGTGAACGTGACCATCAGAAGGCTGAACAACAACCTACCGACAGCAGCTACATTTAAGTTTCCCCTCTGATGGAACCGCTGCTGCAGCATGTAGGTGTAGATGTCATCCTGACAGTTTTAGGTGAAAGCAGCTGGACGTTTCGGGTTATCTCAGAGACATTCTCATCCTAGAGACTTCTTCAGTTCCCAGACTTTGGTTGGGAGTTGTGGTCAGAAACAAACACACTGGTTTTGCTGCAAGTCTTTTTCTTTCTTTTTTGGGGCAGCAGCAGCTCAACAGGTTGAGCAGGATGTCCAGTAATTGGAAGGTTGCAGGATCGATCCCAGCTCCAGACAGAGAATTCTGTTGTTGTGTTCTTGGGCAAGGCACTTAACCCACGTTGCCTGCTGGCGGTGGTCGGAGGGACCGGTGGCGCATGTGCTCGGCAGCCTCGCCTCTGTCAGTGCGCCCCAGGGCAGCTGTGGCTACATCGTAGCTCCTCCTCCTCCACCTCATCATCATCAGTGTGTGTGTGAACGGGTGAATGATACACTGTAGTGTAAAGCGCTTTGGAGTCCTCTGGCTCTGAAGGGTGCTATATAAGCGTGGGTCATTTATCATTTCTTTCTTGAAAACATGTTTTTGTCTAAATGAAGGTGATGTTACTGTTCTTAGACATTAAAATTCATGTTGAAGTTCAGGTTATTCCATTAAATAGGACCTGTGGTGAGCTGGCTCACTTAAAAACATGTAATGTTTTTGGATTCTGCCACTTGAAAGCGATCCTAGACAAGGAAGTGGCTCTTCGCTGGAGCCAGTTTAGAACCAGCTCTTCCAAGAGCTCTGAACGGATGCTGAAACAGTTTCAGTCGGAAAAAGTACAAATGTTTCATCTACTGGTGCATTTACGTCTACTTAGAGCTGACCCAGTGTGAGTAGAGTGCAACAGGAGCATGCTGAAGTCAAGAGTTTCCCCAACAGGAGCTCTAAAACTATAAAAACGACTGTTAAACGTGCTCTAAACGTTTCTACTTGGGAAACGATTTTACACTTTGGAAACACAATGAAGTGATTAACTTATACATTTTGTGACACAAACACTTGCCAACATTGTGGTTCTGCTCACCTTTATGTTGACGTCCGCTCCATTGCACACCAGCAGCTCCAGACAGAGCGCTCCGTGGCGAGAAGCTGCGGTGAAGTGAAGAGGTGCAAAGCCTTTCTCGTTCACCTGGTTGACATTCGCTCCACTTTCGATGAGCTCATTCACGACCACGTCCTGTCCGTTATAGCAGGCCACATGCAGGGGGGTGTTGCCATACGCATTGGGCTCATTAATCTTAACAACAGCACAAGCACAAAGCAGTCATTTAAACAATGCCAGCGGCGTAGAGGTGATAGGTCTGTGAGAGGAACTTACATCCACTCCCAGGTCCAGAAAGTATTTGACAACACTAATCATCCCACTAGAGGCTGCTGCATGCAGGGGAGTGTACGACTTCTTATCCTTACAGGCCACTTCAGCTCTGTGAGAAGCTAGCAACTTCACCACTTCTATGTGCCCTAAAAGCACAAAAGACACACAATCATGGCAAAACTCATCAGGATCTTTTCTAAATTAAGCTGCTGCATGAAAGTGAATGCTACAGATTATTTTTACAAAGAATAAAAACCCTTTCCTCAAACCTCTACCACTTTATAAACAAGATTCTGTCTTTTTACCCATGTAGGCAGCCCAGTGGATCGCACGGCGGTCCTTCTTATCGAAAGCATTGATGTTAGCTCCTCTGGAGAGCAGCAGCCTCACCATCTAACAGCAACAAGACACACACACACACACACACGCACACGCACACACACACACACACACACACACACGCACGCACACACACACACAGTGTTACTCCACACATGTAATAATATTCGTCTACCCCCACCCGGAAGTTCCAACATCAGTGCTGATCACTTCTGAATAAATTAGGATACTTTGAACTTGTGACCTTTCCACTACATGTTGTAGTGTTGTTATGTTGCTAAAAAACACCTGCTGCAGGTTTTGTCACCATGTCACAGAAGCCAGACTCTTCCTTGGCCTTGGTGTTTACTACGGTGCTAGCCGGGAGTACTGATCTAGCTAGAAGGCTGTCACAACGGCTCCACATCCACGGCTTGCATAAACACTTCTGGTCTGCAGCTACATGATTATTGTGAACCGTTTGCTTGTGAGAGCACGACTGCACAAGAACACTCAAACTCCTAGAAAGAATCCAACTGTTTCAATCTGCAGCAAAGACACTCAGGTTTATTAGCTGAAGCGGTTTCTGCAGGACTGAACTGGGTTCGTGCCCGTCCCACACCAGAGTTGGTTGTTTTCACAAAGTGCAGCCGGAACAAAAAAACAGCTCAGCCGAGTTAAAGGCTTAAAGCATCCAGAATGAATAGCTACAGAACACAATCAGACAGTTACATGTCATTTGTTAGTGAAATGCATTTTTAAATAGATTAAACATTAAAAGCTGCACACTAAACCCAAAGGGTGCATTGTGGCTGGTCTGGCAGCTGCTGACAGGAAGGAATGGGCAGACTGGGATGAGGATGAGAAGAGTTTCATCTCAAACTTGTCAAAGATGCGGCTGCTGTTCGGTTTGCTTGGTTAGCTGCTCGTCGTGTTTGCAAGTTTTAGGAGGAAAACAGAAACATGCCCTCTGGGCAAAATAGAAAGAGACAGGGAAGTGACTACACAGTAAGGAACAGAACACCATGTTCTCCCACTTAGAACTCATGGAGGGGTCTGAAATTCAAATACTAATGTTCTGACTGTAAAGTCAGGTCTGACAGAAACAGAGCCAGCGTGGGACTAGTGACGGGAACTCCGGCTCTTTTAGGAGAACTGCTTCTTACGGCTCGGCTCTCAAACGGCTCCTCACATGTTTTGTTTTTTAAATTATTTATCACCAGAAAATTATGTAAAATGTGTTAATATTGAAGTGTGAAAGCTCTCCCCAGCCGTCATTAGTGTCTACAGAAGGGATTCATCACTAAATCAAACATATCAGATGTGTTCATGATCTAAAGCATGCAGGAAACCTGCTGGAAGCAGCCTGCAGCACCAGGTATGTCAGCTAAAGAGCGGCCCGCCACACTGAGGTTGTGAGTGTTATATTCTGGCTACAGAGGGCGGTGGGGTCAGAGACTTTTCATTAACCCTGTAAAGGGTCATTTTAGCACAGACTAGCTCAAGAAAAGGATCTAAAAATGTGAAAAATTCACCTAGCATCCCTTTGAATAGCTTCTAACATTACAACACAAAACAAAACTCATTTTAAATAACTAAAACAAACTGTACGTAAAACATTTATAGACGTAACTATTTACAGGTAAACAACTTATAAAGCAAAGACAATCACACAATAACATTTGTAGAGTCTGGTGAAGAGATGCTTTTGCCTTGCATAGTCTACACTCTTCCTGTGAATTGTCGATTAAATGTGTCCAAATCTGGCTGCATTTCCTGCTTCAACTCACGTCCTCCCCTTGTCCCCCTCCCTCCACTGCTCTGTGTGTTGGTTTACAACCATGCCTGTCCCCCGCTCCTCCCCTCCCCTCATGCACGCTGCAGACACAAGAGGAGCTGAGCAGAGGGCTCATCGATGAGTAGAGAGAGAGAGAGAGAGAGAAAGAGAGAGAGAGAGAGAGAGAAAGAGAAAGAAAGAGAAAGAGAAAGAGAGAGAGAGAGAGAGGAGAGAGAGAGAGAGAGAGAGAGAGAGAGAGAGATGTCCAAGACTGTCAGTGCCAAAATTAATGCTGTATGCAGTCATGTTAGGTTTGACCTCCGTTTTCCAACAGATGTATAGTCGAGTAATGTCTGCAAAGTTTATTATGCTGCCTATGTCCAGATCACCAATGGGCTTGTGTCCACTGGCCGCCCCAGAAGCGTGGCTTAGTAGCTTAGCTCCCCAAAATTTACGCGTGCAGATTTACTTTTATGTAAATCTAAAATAAAATACGCCATGACCTGTGACGACTGCAGCCGAAATATAAAAACTGAAAACAAACCACAGGCCTTTAGGATACATGATGCCGTATTTATTCTAGCTTATTATATGAAACGGCGAAATCTCACTTGATCTTGCAATTCTGTGATTTGGTGATCCCTGGTGACCAGCTGCATGGATCAGATCTGCAGCCGCTGCACATCTGAAATGCTCCTTGTTGGAAGGGACGAACCACTGAGGTCATAGGGAAAACGTGTCTACTACGTTACACATCTCAGTTACATCAGAGTTCTGTGTGGGCGCTCCGAAAAGGAGCGGACCCAGAATGATAAACTAGAAGCAGATACAGTTTGAGGTTGGCGATACTGTCGTTTCTTGTTTGGCAATGTTAATGTTTATTAATTATTTGTAATTATTTGTTAATGTTTGTTTTAATACTAGGCTTAAAATATTTTTATTTGATAGGGCCTATGGTTAAAATCTGATGTTAGCCTAGATCAGGACAAGTGGAGGAGTAGAGGGAGGTGGAGTGTACAGTCGGTAAAGACGGCTCTCCCTTGCCCTGACTCCAACATGCCTCCATCTAAATAGGATAGGTTATCCAGAGTTATCTCTGTAGTTATGCTGCTATAGGCTTAGACTGCTGGAGGACACACTGACCACTTTTCACACTCTACTGCTTTCTTCTACAATCTGCTCTTTAACTGTATTAGTTCCTGCTATTTCAGCTGTTAACTTTATTTTTTCTCTAAGTGTTTTTCTCCCCAGAAGAAGTAACAACGACGTTCTGCTGAGCTGTGGTGGCCTCATGGAGGGGGCCATCGTCTAGCACACTGCTGCTAACCACTTAAACATTCTCCCTCTCCTGATAATAACTTTTTGTTTCCTTGACGTTGGATGTGCTACTACTAGTTTATCCGTTTAATCATAGATCCACTAGGATAAATACAATAAAGTTTATCTCTCACCAAATAGAATATTTACTAAGAAATCACAATGTAACCATAGAAACACTATTTGGTGTGTGTGTGTGTGTGTGTGTGTGTGTGTGTGTGTGTGTGTGTGTGTGGTGTGGTGTGTGGTGTGTGGTGTGTGTGTGTGTGTGTGTGTGTGTGTGTGTGTGTGTGTGTGTGTGTGTGTGTGTGTGTGTGTGTGTGTGTGTCTTCTCGATCCCCAGTGAGTCGTGGAGGATGGCTGCTTAGGTTTCTTCCTGTTAAAAGGGAGTTTTCCTCTCCACTGTCGCTGCATGCTTGCTTAGTATGAGGATTGCTGTATAGTCACTGACACTAGTCAGTGACTCGATGCAACCTGCTGGGTTCCTTATATAGGAAACATTATTTCTGATTGGCTTAATGAACTGACCTGAACTGGAATGTTTATTATGCGAAGTGCCTTGAGACGACTCTTGTTGTGATTTGGCGCTATATAGATAAAATTGAATTGAATTGAATGTTTATGGCTAGAGACCAGAGTAGTATTTGGAGGATAATGTTTATTTTGCTGCTCCTCTTTACGTTTTTAATTAAAATGCTGAGTTTTCGTTTTAGCTGACAGTGTTAGGGCTGCAACAAACGATTATTTGGATAATCGATTAATCGGATGGGGTCTCGACACGATTAATCGGATTACATGGGGAAATTTTTAAAAACTGCTAGGGAAACGTTATTTCTCTCCTTCCTTCACTTTATTTAACACAACATTATTAGAAAACAGTTCAATAGCAGAAAAACAACATGCCATCACCTAAATTGTCTTATAAGGTGTATAGACAGAGACCCTAAGCTACATCTATCTGTGACCTAAAATGCTTGGTCCAAGTTAAACAGCTTAAGGGCAATTCTCATCTGTTTTGTTTGATCTCATCTGTTGACATTTATTTTAAATGTAATTAAACATAGGCTGTGAATTAATCAAAATTGATCACTATTTCCAAAAATGACTGAAAAAATACCAAATAAAACAAAAGTAAATGAATGCCATCCTCCTTGCGATGATGCCCTGGGCAACTGCCATAAAGTCACATCAAGAAATGCTGCTGATCATTCCAATGATCCCAAATAGACTCACATTAGGCCACATGAAAGCAACTGAACCCAAAAATATATTAACCAGTATATAACTGCACTCTCACACAACACGCCTGCAGCAACAGTTAGGACTCCTCCTTCCCTTTTAAAAGCGTTTTTGCTTCTGAGGACATTGTGGTTGTAAAACCACACGCTAGTAGTCTGGCCCCGGTGTGATCAACCAGTTTCTGCGTGAATGTGACGGCGGAACCAGGGCCAGATTAACACTTTGTTGTACCCTGGGCAACAATATTCAAGGGCTCCATCATCACGACCCAAGGATCACCATAATGTGGTCACATACAGAATATTTTACTGTAATATACAGTAAATATACTCAATACTTGAATGCCTGACAACACGTAACCCGCCCAGAGTAACCTTTGAACCACCTCGTGTGGACTGACCAATGAGGAGAGGGTCTTAACTTGAGGCCCTCTCTTCATTGGTCAGTCTGCATGAGACTGACTCTCAACTGACGTTCAGTCGTAGGCAGCGAAGCGTCTCTGTGCAGTGCAAAAGCCCGGGTGGACAGTTTGTTTAATGTAGGGTGACCATATTTCCATTTCCAAACAAGAGGACAGGGGATCTGTGCCTATGACATCACACTATGGCAATGCCACACAAACCACGTTGGGACCCATTTTTTGTAAGAACTAAATTAATATCAGATTCTGCCAATTAAAGGGCTCTAAAACAATTCATATGTAAATATTTTGCATATTTAATGCAAAATCTAATTTTTCTGCTTTAGTGCTGCAACAAGGTTTTATTAATAATAAATTATTATACCTTTTGTTTTACTACAGCATCGGTAAGCTTCCTGTGCACAGATTATTAAGGATGCTTGTTTCAGCTGTGAGATTAGACGATAGGATCAGTGAAAAAATAAGTTGTCCCACACTCCATGGAAACTTTCAGAGAATCCACAAATAGTGGCTTTCAAATAGTTTAGTTACTTTTTGCAAGTTTATAAAAGAAGCAGATGAGACAGCATGTCTGATAATTTAGTTTTTCATCTGATAATATTAGAACATGTCAGTAATGTCTGAGGGGCTTTTATAAACACCATATAACTAACACTACTGGAGAGGGCATGAATTACACAGAGGCTTCTGGGGAGCCCAGTTATTGGGGGGGGGGGGCATTTTGCCTTGGCCCCCAAAATGTCTTGAAACGGCCCTGGGTGTGTGACTGAGTTTTGAAGGTGATCTGAATTGTATCAGATGTATAAATATGACATGTGTATAACTTATTGTTTTTTACTGGTAAAAACGTGTAGTGGTGATAAATCTACCTACATTTTACTTTTCAACACTTTGTTTTGTTTTCTTGTTTTTATTGAACTATTTTCCTGTCCTGTCTGTCTCTCATCTTCCTGCATCTCCTCTTAATTCTCCAGAAAATATGTTGCCTGGATTCTTACCTTTTCACCTCATCAGTTACTTTTGAGCAGATCAAAGGGATCTCCTGACCGAAAAGCGCAGAGCGCGTTTTCGATGCTGCGTGAGGTGACATCACCACAGCACAGGTGATGAGCTCCGCAGTAGCGCGCTTCAGGCACAAATAAGACAGAAAGTAGAGAACATGTGCGGACATGAACGATCGTGTGCTAATTATAGTTTTTTGGTTGCGCCACTTTGAGAATGGACCGTGCGCTGGAAGCAGCTGCCTGGATCGCTGTGCAACAATGCGGAACCGGTTCGCAGCAGCGCAAGTCTGCTGGCTCTCCCTCGCGCTGATCTGCCGGCTCTCCCTTGCGCTGATCTGCGGCTCTCCCTTGCGCTGATCTGCGGCTCTCCCTTGCGCTGATCTGCGGCTCTCCCTCGCGCTGATCTGCGGCTCTCCCTCGCGCTGATCTGCGGCTCTCCCTCGCGCTGATCTGCGGCTCTCCCTCGCGCTGATCTGACTTGCTCTGGTCTGCGCGCAAGGGCGGGCGGGAAGGGGGGGGCGCTTTTGGAAGAGTTGTGCGACACAACGAATCGATGACGCAATTTGTTGCCAACGCTTTTAGTAATCGATTTTCATCAAATTTATCGATTCGTTGTTGCAGCCCTAGACAGTGTATTTTGCATAACGGATGTCTAATTTGCTTCAATAATTAATAAATCGTACATCAAAGACTGACTTCATTCTTCAGGAAAACACAACCCACTCTGCTCCTGTAGGACAAGACCCCCACTGAAGGGCTTGTGGCAATAAATTCATCATGTACAGAAGCTCAAAAAATACAGAAGAGAAACATGCCGTTTAGTCATCGGCACCAACAAGCTAACCTGCAAGAGGAAGTGAGGAAATTTTTATATTTTAGTAGATGTTTTTACTGAAAGCTCTGAGTAGAGTTTCTGCAGACATGGTTGAGGCTGTAACATTACCTCCAGGTGGCCGCTGAAGGCTGCGTGGTGCAGCGCAGTCCGGCCTGCTCGGTCTGATACATTCACATTGCTAAGAAGAGGGACGAGAGCTTCGGCGCAGCGGACCGCCTTATTGGCTGCTGCGATGTGGAGCGGCGTCTGCCAGTTCTTGTCTCTGGCATTTACATCTGCAGAGTGTTTCACCAACACCTGGACAGCCTCCTGCAAAGAAATGTGTGTTTACATATAGATTTGCTTAGATACCGTAAATCCTCTAATACAGGCCCGGGCCTGTATTTGACTCAAGCTCATCAAGCTCCAGGCCTTTATTGGAAGGAGGGCCAGTATTAGAGGCAGGCCTCTATTTCTATTTGAGCAAAATGAACTAATGGTTCGCTGGAGTTTTTGACAATTAAAATTGCGCCCACATTTTCAAAGTTAAACACATTTCTTTTAACAACGGTAGTTTCTGCTTCAGCCCTCCCCCCCCTCCCCCTGCTTCAGCCATCTCCCCCCTCCTTCTACGCAGCGGCCGCAAACTCAATGATGCGCCTGCAGCCTCTCGGAGTTCCTGCTGCTCTAAACATTAAAATAATTATTTCATTTTCTGGTCCTCACTTCACCTTCAATGGTGTCTGTTTGTTGCAACCACCAGGTACAAAAACTAACTTGTTTTTATTTGACTATTTTTCTGTCCTGTCTGTTTATTATCTTCCTGCATCTCCTCTCAATCCTAAAGAAAAACTGCTACCTGGGTTCATATATATTCACCTCATGAGTTACCTTTGAACTGCAGTTCTAAAAGACTACCGACCGCAAAAACAGTGGAGCGCTCCCTGCTTGGCGGCCGTATCATACAGTCCGGGCAATAAACGCGGAAGTTAGATACAAACACCCGTTGTGTGGGAGAAGCATCGAAATGAACTGTTTAATCTGCCCATCATGTGTGTTGAGAGATCAGCAGTGTTTGGATCAACAAAGTGTGTCTACTTTGATAGTGGAAACTGTATTTATGGCTTATTTTGTGCATTTAAAGTTCAGCCGCCATTGATAGTTGTTAAAAATTGTTAAACCTGTGCATATGAAACAAAAAACGCCTTTTGTTTATCGATTTATTGTGAAAAAAGGAAGTTGTGCTTGCTCCTTTTCCTGTTGGGCAGTTGTGATTTCTGTCCATTGACTGCGGAGGTGCTCCGGCGAAAATAGGATCGATTCTATTTTTGCCGGACGCCGGAACAGAGGGCGGCGCATGGCGCCGCACTGCCGGAGCACGGCCGCAGTAGTAGAATTGCTCTGACTGACTACAACGGGACCGATTTTGCTCCGGCGTTTGTGTCGGAGCGGAGCGGAAGTAGTGGAATTTGCGTCGGAGGACAAGGTGATGCACGCAGCGCCCCGCTCCACAGCATGCAGCAAAACGCATCAGGCGCAAATAAAAGACAGAAAACATTAAAGGAAATGAACTGACATGAACGATCGCGTGTTAAATTAGTTTTTGAGGTGGCGACACCTGATTGTGACCGTGCTCAGGAGGCAGATCTACTGACCGCGAAAACAGCGGAGCTCTCCCTGCTTGGCGGCCGCATCAGTGATCTGTGCGTCGGAGGACAAGGTGATGTGCCCCGCTCCACAGCAGCGAAACACATCAGGTGCAAATAAAAGACAGAAAACATTAAAGGAAATGAACCGACATGAACGATCGCGTGTCGGTACCTATGCTCTGACACAGCGCGTTGCCCCCCCGAGCGCAGGAGCTTGTCACCTGCTGACAGCAGGCTGCTGTCTTTTCTGAGGACTGCATCTTGCCGGTCATTATCACGTGACAGCGACTAGTCGACGACAGGCATAAAAAGTCACTATAGTGAAGTTGACTAGTTCATACACCCCCTACTGCTGCTCTCCAGAGTGTTCTGCAGCATAATCAGCACGTTCTCTTTGAACTTGAGAGTGTAATGACCTGGTTGGGGTTGTAAGCCAGGTGCATTCTGGGTATTGTGTTATATGTGTTTCCTATCGTTGTAAGCCACAGGGAAGGTGATGTGTGTTCTGTGGAGCGGGTTGAATTAGCATGGTTAACTGACACCGTGACTCTGTGTGGTAGGAGCGTGATAGAGGATCGTGTCTGTAGCGTTACAAAGCGTTGAAGAAAAAGCTGAATAAAGGTCTGTGTGAACCTCTACTGCCTCCTGCTGGTTGATTTGGGGACTATAACCCTGCCGCTGGACGCTCATATTTGCTTGTTACCACATTCCACCCGGCCACAATAAGAGACCGGCCATTATTCACCCCCGCTGACTCCGACACCGGCCTAAATTGGAGACCCGGCCTTTAATTGAATACCGGCCTTTATTAGAGGATTTACGGTATATGGAAGTGTGTCTGATGTGAAGGAGAAGGGTTTTCCTACCTCGCTGCAGGAGGCCACTGCTCGGTGCAGGGGAGTCAGCCACTTGTTATCTTTGGCGTTCACTCTCGCACCTACACGTCAAAATGACACATTAAAGCACTTTATATCTGGAGTGATGTTTAATAAGTATATTGGAATTTTGTTGTTTAAAGAAGCATGATATGGCATCTACATATGTTTGCAAAAGTCACTGACCACTAGCCAGAGTACGGGTCTTCGTACGTCTAAACTAAGTGATGCGAGTAAAATCTGGGGATTATTAACCCTCTGATGCATGAATTATGAAATCTTCAACCACGATTTTTTTAAACAATTTTTTTCATTCATCTTTAGGTGTGAATGAAACAAATTTCAACAAATATTTTTTGTAACATTTTGTTAATTTACAAATAATTTATTACATGTCCATCTCAGTGGACAGCGTGCATTCTGAACATGAAATATGTTGGCTTGCCTTACTGAAGTCCAAATGGAGGGGCTCACATACAGTAAAGTCTTCAACAGCTGTGCTTAATAGCAAAAATAAATAAATAACAATTTTGAGTACCTGTCCACTGTAGTGACCATTATGCATCAAAGGGTTAATGAATTTGAGGTTTACTAGGATGTATAGCACCTTCTAGGATTCTACAGCCCCCCCAAGGCACTTCACAACACATTAGTCATTTCATCCACATGGGGGTGATGCGCTACAACACAGCCACAGCTGCTGTGGAGCACACTGACTGAAGCGAGGCTGCCGAGCACTGGCTCTGCCGGTCCCTGCGACCATCACCAGCAGGAACCGTGGGTTACATGTCCTGCTTAAGGACACACGGCCTGACTGAGCGGGAGTCAATCCTGCAACCCTCCGGTTACGAGACAGGCACTTAACTGCTCCACCACCGTCATCCCTAGCTGATTTTTTTAGCTCAAACGTCAAAACCATTTTCTAGATAACCTCTAAAAGTAATCCACAGCATTTCCATACAGGGTAATGAAATTAGCCTCTATCTTGGGAGAATCGAAGGCTAGAAGATGGCAGTGGATTAAAAACCACACCTGAAAGAATCAGCAGCTCTATAATTTCTGCGTCTCCGAGATAGGCAGCAGCATGTAGAGGAGTTCGCTTCTCGTTGTCCTGTAAGCAGTGAACAAAGAGACACAGCTGTGGATAAAACCAAACAAAAACAGCTGGAGCCGTTCCTCTGATCTACTTTCCACTGGTCAGGTCTGATCAGACAGTAAAGGATGCAGCTTTTTTGTTTCATTTTATTAAAAGAAGAAAAACAAGCAACTGTCATGTTTCACAGCACTGAACTGGGTTAAACCCCAAATTAGAAAGGCATTTCAGTAAAGCACAAACAAGTGCAAACCAGCAAGGCTCTGGAAACAAACACCTCGATGAGAACAGTAATGCAGAAGGATGCAGGTAAATAAGCACATCCAGACAGAGCAGTAGGGACTGTAAAAGGACAGGCTGATTTACATGCAGCTGCACGAGGCCCTTCAAGGACAATTCATACAGCAGACAGAGGGTTTATATTCAGTTTTGCAGCGATATTATTAAATTACAACAATATGAGGAAACAGTTGCAGACAGTGGGGATAGTGTGGGATTACCTGGACATTCACATCCTCTTTCTTGAATATGAGTGACCGTACTTCATCTGGGTCCACATTGAAAATCGCTTTCAGCAAAGAAGGCTGGAAAAGAAGGATATTTTGGTTGAATGAATAATTTCAGCATTTTTCTCAAAACATGACAGAATGTTATCATTGAGTGTTCAAGCTGGATGTTGTGTGCAACATGGGACCAATGAGAGACGGGCAACAGCTCAGTGCCAGAAGGGAAAACTACATTGGTTAAAATTTCCTAAAATATCTAAATTCCTCCATAGAACAAAGAAAACTAATGAAACGTTCAGCAGAATTGTGATGACAACATCAGCGCAAGATCTGCTTGTAGCAGTAGATGGAATATGCATTTTAACAAAATAATCACAGCATGATGACAGAAATCTGACCTGATACTATGGTCTCTAGTGTATGTTGTCCAGCAGAACAAAACAGAGACAACTATCAGGTTCTGATAGACCTCCTTAGGTCTTAAAATGAACACAAAAATGGGTGTAACAAAATACAGCTAATCTATTTCAAAACATCCAACACCAGACGAGAGCAGGATGACACCCATGTGTCTGAATCCTGGCTTAACTTCTTACTAAGTGGTTGATTGGCTCCACCCTCCGAAGACAGAAAAACTGTTATTGTACTCAGCTCGCGCTGTCGGGCAAAATTACCACGCCAGCAATTCTGAAACTGGGATCCAGATCTAGCCTAAAAGGCAGGTGAGTCCCTACTCAGCCCATGAATTGGATCCATAATTAGTACCGTGTAATGATGTGACTGTTTACATTTTCAGGAAGCATTTAGGAAGTATCCTCCCCTTCCGGTCGGCTCATGGCTCCTCTGAACGAAAAGCATAACTGGATGAAAGTGAACGGGGCTATAAACGCTATTTTCTTTTTTGCTTAGTCAAACGTCCTGAATCACACATGCAGTGCTTCAGTTTAAATGATAAATAATTACGTGTGTTTCACTTAAGTCTGTCACATAATTTGAGATCTATTTGTTTGTAAAAACTAGTCATGCTGCCAGATTTAGGTGGTTTTTTCACGTTTAGTGCTCGCTCTTTTGTCCTCGCTAAACTCAGCCCTATTTCTTCTCCTGACGTAAATTTGGTGAGATGGGCCTGTGACATCCTCTGCGTGTTTTCACCAAGGAGCAATCCCGGCCGGTCAAATGTGAAGCCAAGCAGGAAGTGACAAAAATTGCAGTTTCCCATCATCCGCGAAGGGGCTGGCACCAGTATGAAACAAATTCCCATTGACTCCCATGTTAAAAATGCCAAATGCACAGCAGGAATAAACATGTTTGCAGCCTGGATCAAAATAACATTTTAGGTTTAACAGGTTCAGTTTACAGACACGACGAGGGGAGTAGATTTTTGTAACTTTTCCATTTAGATGTAATTGAAGGCTTGCAATTATGAATAATAGGGATGTAAGTAAATGTCGATATGGCATTATATCACGATATTATATCGATATTCTAAAGCTGTGTATTGAATTTTTGGAAGAATTTACATGCAAACATTTGTGCATTTGCTTTTTCTTTTGATGCAAATCAAACGCGACTGCTGCAATGGGTATTTGTTTCCACCACTGAAATGTAAATCCCTCTATTATGGTTCAGATACCTCAAGGTAAACATGTTACATATCAGTCTGGATGTTTATTGAATTTTCCTACAATAAATCCAGTCTAAAAAATAATCGCTAATATCGTCTGGCTGAGTGTATCGCAATATACCACGATATTGTATCTTCTCCCCTGTATCATGATACGCATCGTATCGCCAGAATTTCACCAGTACACACCCCTAATGAATAGTTAGATATCACTGACAGGTAACATGAGCGTAAAAGCTAGCACTAGTGGCTAGGTCTGGGGCTGCATGGTGACGCTGTTGTTAGCACTGTTGCCTCGCAGCAAGATGGTTGCAGATTCGAAAGTCGGCTGCGGACTTTCGTATACTGCGTGGAGTTGCATGTTCTCCCCATGCATGTGTAGGTTTCCTCTAGGTACTGCAGATTACCCCACAGATCAGAGCATGCCCTATAAATAAAAAATTGTATGTCACTTTTAGGGTTGTCACGATACTAAAATTTCAAACTCGATTCGATACTTGAAAAAAAACTCGATACTCGATTTCGATACTATTTAAAAACACCAATTTATTGAACAAGTTTATTCAAAAAATAACATTCCTCAATTTATATTGCAAAAATTAAATGTTAAGAATTAAGTGTATAAAGTGCTTAAACCTTTCAAGTATCAGCATTTTTTAAAACGTGCATACAAAAACTGGCGAAAGTTAACACTTTAAATCATGAATTGTCTCACTATATACACACTATTTGCAGAGTGATGTTTTGCTGCTTAAACTCTGTTTAAGGTGCATTTTTGTCATAAGCTGTAATGCCAAATGTTTTGTTCTGTACTTTTGAACAACTCTGTTGGTCAACAAAGGGAGAAAACGAATTTCTCCACAGTAGGACAAAGGTACATCTACCGGTAATCTTAATAAAAACAGATTGGCGCACGGCAGTGACGTCATTAATAGCGCCGGTTAGATTAGCCGCAGCTAGTCTGCTTACGCCTAGAAATCCCAGACCCGCTCCAAACGAACAGGGGAATCACGTTAATGATTCCCAACAAAACCTTTCGACACTGAGATGTTTTGGTGCAGATAATGTCTTATTTCGAGGCTGCACCAGGGGTGCCCGTCCGCACCCGTTATATGGATATACGCTGACGGCGATTCGCCGATGGATCTAAATACCCCGGGGAATCCAAGTAGCACCAAAGTTGTCAGCGTGAGTAAACAAACGTACTGCATGCTAGAAATTAAGTCTGGGTTGCAATAAACGGGAGTTTTCCTTTAAGCACATAAGCGTGAATATACAACTACGTGTCGGACTTGGTATGCTAATTAAGTTGGGCTGTGCAGCGCCTCCCAAATTCGCGGTTTATGTTTTTGTTTATTTATTTGGCAGACAAAACTTGGATCGGAGACAACTCGCATGGGAAATTGCAATGTAGCCATGCGGCGTCTTCTTCTTCCGTTTGTCTGGGAGACGGAGGTTGCTTTACGGCATCTGGCTGTCGTGCGTGTCGGTGTACTTGGAGGCTGTGTATAATAGTCCATAATATCGATACCACAGGGATGGAATATCTTATTTAGATACCACTTTTAGCATCGATTTATATCTAGGTATCGATTTTTTTGACACTAGTCACTTTGGATGAATGCGTCTGCCAAATAAATAAACATAAACATAGGTCTGGGGAAGGCCTCAGCCTCACGTTAATAGTAATCTGTCATTTCCATACTCTGAACTTTAGTTATGTCCTCTGCGTGTTTGCGTTTGGATGTTAATCAGTTATAGGAAAAAGAGGGCAAGCTGTGGTATTGACTGCAATAACAGACCATCTAACAAGTCTTCATTTTAAAGAGGTGAGTAAAATTATTTTTCTGTATTTTATTTCGCTGGTAAAAAAGCGTAAAATGCCGTGCGTCAAAATGAGTTGAAATATGACGTGTTGGTAGGGCTGAATGCCGAGACCTGCTACCAGAACTCGCCGGCCCAGCTGATCTCCCAGCGCTGCACAGGAGCGTAGCGTGGGCTCATGCGGCTCAGGCGCACAGCTCTAATCACAATGATTGTATTTTAACAGTCAATGGTTAGCTCCTGGCTCCATGTAAAAAAAAAAAAAACATCGAACTTATATAGCGCTCTATTAGGAAACTCAAAGACGCTTGTGTGAACTCACATTCACACACTGCTAGTGATGGTAAGCTACTTGTAGCCACAGCCGCCCTGGGGAGGTCTGACAGAGGCGAGGCTGCCATTTGGCATCGTCGGCCCCTCTGACCACCACCAACACAGGCAAGTTGGGTGAAGTGTCTTGACCAAGGACACAACAGCAGAATACCCCTGGCGGGAGCTGGAATCAAACCCATGACCCTCCGATCATGTGGCAACCCGCTCTACCACCTGAGCCACTGCTGCCCTATGTTTTTGTGTTAGCTCCAGGTTTGCACAGTTAACTGGTAGCTACATCGGTTCAGGGTGGGTGTCAATCACTTGCTCCAAACCACAGAGCTCCACCTCTTTGTTAATTTTTGTATTTGGCGATATTGATGACACGAGTTACGTGGCCAAGATGGAGGTGGTCAGAACCGCCCATTTGATTTCTTTTTTTTTTTCTTGTCCTGTCTGGCTGTGAAGCAAACAGAATTAACGTCTGAATGCTGGTAACAAGCCTTACAGATTTACTCTCAGGTGGAGCATCAAAGCATCTGCTTTTAATGTCACGCCTGATAATTGTTATTGTTTTTGAATGCTTTGTAATTCCGACCAGACACGGAGACAGAGGTGAAAGAAAAAGGAAAAGACAAAAGGTGTGTGTGGGGGTGGGGGTGGGGGACAAGTGTCTGCTTCTAGACCTGCAGAAAGAGAAAAAAAAGGGACACAACAACAATACAACAAGATCAAGCTATCACTGCGTCAACTTGATGAAGAAGTATAAAATCAACATTGTTTGACTGAACAATCACACGATAATAAATCACAATGCATTTAGTGCCAACCACAGCCTTAAGACATGTTGAACGTGCCTAAGTCCATACTTATGAGAGCACCATGGGAGCACCTGTGTGTGTACATGCGCTTGTTTATGTAAGGTTTCTCTATAGGAGCATCCAATAGAGTGTGAGGGGCCACAGATCTGCCCCCCAAAGATGTGTAGGAGATGGCGGGAGCTCCAAGTCCCAGAGATCCAGGAGCTGCCCCAGAACACAGGGACCCCAGGGAGACTGTGACCAGAAAAGCCCCTGCTCCCTTTGAGAGGTGCAGAGGATTGCCCCGGGGGGCCACAACCAGCAGCCGTCAGAGTCCCGGGAGATATCAGCTGCAAGCCCACATGCCCGCCCGCAGCCTCCCACCCCCTAGCCGGCCGAGCCCGGGACCCAGCGACCCGGGACCCAGATCCCACCAGGCAGCCACCGGGATTGGTCAGGCAGACGCCAAAAATCTTAAACTCCCTGACCCGGGAGCCACGACCCAGGCAGACCAAGGC